TATTGCTGACATTAGAAAAGCCTTTTTGAAAATTGAAGTGAAAGAAGAAGATGGAGACTATCTTAGATTCTTATGGTGGAAAAATAATCATCAGATTCAGGTTTTCCGTCTCAAGCGAGTTGTCTTTGGTGTGACCTGTAGCCCCTATTTGCTTGGAGCAGTCATTCTGCATCATCTCAAGGGAGTCTCATCTGAATTTGGAGCTCTTCCTCAGAAGTTGATGGAATGTTTGTATATTGATAATTGTGTCACTTCAGTGGATACCGAGGCAGAATTAGTTGATCTGGTGGAGAAATCTACTGAGATATTTGCAAAAGCCAAGATGGATCTCAGAATGTGGCAATTCGGACCTATACACCGAGCCAAGGAAGTCTATTCTAGATTACCTCCTAGTGTTGATATAGAAAGGAGTGAAGAGGCTTCAGTTCTGGGCATGAAATGGGATCTTTTAGAGGATACTCTTAATATGACCCCTAAGTTCGGAGTTATAATAAACTCACTTTCCAAGAGAGACCTCTTGTCTCATACCCAACAGATCTTTGACCCAATTGGATTCTTAGCTCCTGTCTTATTACCTGCTAAACTACTTATCCAACAAGCCTGGACAGTCAAAACTGATTGGGATGAACCTTTACCATCAACCATTCAAGAAAATTTTATGAAGTGGTACAGTGAGTTGGACACTCTTGCCGACATAAAAATTCCACGTAGAGTGGGCCATGGGATTAGAGCTCATTGGTCCATTCACATATTTTGTGATGACAGCCAAAGTGCATATGCAGCAGCAGCTTTTCTACGTTGTCCTGAGAACAAAGGAGTGTCAGTACAACTTTTGATGACCAAATCCCGGCTGGGTCCACTTAAGAAAACTACTATCCCTAGGATGGAACTTCTTGCTTGTATGTTGGGAGTTAGACTCAGCAGGTACATAACTGAGTCTTTGAATTTGGCTGCAGAACCGGTGTATTACTGGACAGACTCTACTACAGCACTTTCATGGATCAAGACGAACAGGCAGTGGGGCACCTTTGTAAACAACAGAGTCAAAGAGATATGCAACACTTCAGGTCCGAACAAATGGTTTTATGTACCAGGGAGCCTCAACCCTGCAGACCTTCCTTCAAGAGGTTGTAGTGTACTACAGCTTAAACGCACCAGATGGTGGGAGGGACCTGAATGGCTCAAGCAGCCTCAAGATCACTGGCCAAAGCAATTATTCCACTCAGACAGAACTTTGGTCAATTTGTAATGCTTAACTCCTTTATGTACCACATGTATATCGCTTGTCTTAATTGTATGATTTTCTTCCCCAAATCATAGGTGGGAGTATGTTAAATATCCATTAATTAAAATTGTGGTATTTTGCATAACATTAGTTATGTTTAGAAAATTGTTGTGATATGCAAATAAGGTTTTGCATAGTGTTTGTTTTGCTATGTTAATTATTTTTATGTATATATATATATATATATCCTTAATTTGTAAATAGTTAGTGCAGTTATATTAGTGTTTGTGAGGTAATAAAGGCCTTTTAGTAAATTCTATTTAGTTTTTTGTTATTAATTAACAAAAAATGTAATATAACGTCTTTAGCTGCCTGTCATTTTAAATAACTTTATCGATTAGAATTCATGTTGTGTGGCCTGTAGAAACGATGTAACCGGAGCAAAGACAGACAAAGGTTTTCATTACCGAGCTCACACCCCAACAATACTCGTAAGACTGGTGGCACAAATAGCAAGAGTTCATTTTCGCACAAAATGTGTGTAGCAAAATAAATCTGAAACCTAACAGATATTATACTACACACAGATCCTTTTTATTATCCCTAGTACACGTGGTACAGGCAATTATAATCATGGTGGGTAGTGGTTGGCGACTCATTTTACTGCAAATGCACCATATGTCTACAACATGTAGAAAGCAGTTCAGCTTTTACACTTACAAATCTCCCAGAGCCCCGTTTAATTACTTGCACGAACTGGTTGGATTGGACTGTTACAAGAATCGAGGGCCATTGAAACAATTTTTTATTCATAAAAAAAGTGTCCAATGCGGAATTCTGGGTCGTGACTTTCGGACATCGACTGTTTATAAGTGTAGATCTTGAAAGTACGGATAATACCTAGATTTTACCATCAAGTAAGAAATAAGTCCAGTTAAAAATCTATGCGAATATATATATATTTTAATGAAGCTCGCTTAAAAGAAATGGATATATACAAAAGCCACAACAATAGCACCATTCACGGCTAATAGATGTGGGCAATTTGAAACTATGAATAATAGCTGTGATAATGAAATTCTAATTTATTTCAAATAGTAGGATGCTTCCATGGTTTTCATTGTCGCACATGCGTGTGTTAGGTTTTTTTTTATTATTATTATTGTATTTTATTAATTAATTATAATTTATATTCATAGAATTTTATTGTTACTTATCATCATTCTTTTTGTTGTTTTTTTTCTTCTTCTGTTTTTTTTTTTTTCTTTTGTGTTAATATAGTCTCTTTTTTCTTTTGTGTTAAAAAATACAACTAAATCGCATTAAATCTTAGTGTAATTCTTTTTTGTTGTTTGAAATAAATCGAATTGAATCGAAGTGAGTCAGCTCATTCTTTCTAGAAGAAAGTTCAAAGAAAACGTGCTAACATTTTTTAGTGCCGAAACCCGGGAAAGAAGTAGAAGAAATAGAAAGTTCTTAGAAGCCATAGAAATAAAGAAAGGTAAGGATTTGAATACTAATCTTTAAAATATAGAAACAGAAATCTTAATTTTTGAATCTCTGATTAAAAGTTTAGAATTGATAAAAGCAGATGTAGAATATAATTTAGAAGGCAATGATAATTACGTTCTTATGCAAAATAAAGAAGACTTGTTAAATTCAAAAGCTAGCTTTGATAATCAATATGTGAAATTAGTAAAATATAAAGGCATTAATGCTGAAGAAAATTTTGAGGTATCCTTTGAGGCAAAGTCTAAAATCAATTCTTTTTTGATAAAAATAAATAGATCGCTGGGAAATTTAAATAAAAATACATTTTCTGGTGAAACGCATTTAGAACTTCCCAAATTTCAATTGCCCACCTTTAGTGGTGATATTTCAGATTGAGTTTTAAAGAAATTTTTATTAGATCTATTGATCAAAATCCAACACTGGAAAATTTTCATAAACTTCAATATTTAAATTCTGCACTAAAAGGAAATGCCGCTAGACTTATTAGGGCGTTCAATATTTCTGATGAAAATTATCCTATTGCCTGGCAAACCTTGGTCAATAGATTCGACAAAAAAAGTGAATTGGCTTTTAAAGAAATTCAAAATTTGTATGATCTAAAAAATGTAAAACAAGAATCGACTAAAGATTTACTTGATCTCCTGGACACTAGTAACGAAAGCATTCAGAATCTCTATCCTCGGATTGGAACGTAATAATTTATCGGATATGATTTTAATTCATATAATTCAATCAAAACTTGATCGTTCAATAAGAAAAGAATGGGAGATGAGTTTGCTTGAGAAAGAATATCCATCGTATGAAAAGATTATTTCTTTCCTGGAAAGATTTGCTGGAAGTCTCGGGAGTTTTCAGAATAAAGAAAATTCAAAACAATTCTACAAAATGAATAAATCCACTCATTCTCATTCAGCAACATTTGCCTCTGACTCTGGTATAGATTGCAAAGTCAAGCCATGCGTCTTATGTAAAGGTGAACATTTTTTGTTAAAATGTCCTAAGTTTAATGGTATGATGTTACCTGAAAGATGGACATTTGTAAAAGATAATCGTCTATGTTGCAACTGTCTAAGATCTAACCATAGAGTATCGTCATGCGTCTTCACGCAAAATTGCAAATCATGTGATAAGAGACATCATGCTCTTTTGCATCAGTTCAAACCGTAAATGTTAATTCCTGTTGCGGACATATCTTCATTGACCCATGCCAGTGTCTCATGTTTTGCAGACAACAAAAGTCATGATCGGATATTACTCTCTACGGCTTTAATAAAGGTCAATTCAGAAAACGGGGTTTTTCAAACATGTAGAGCCCTCATAGATACAGGCTCTCAAAGGTGTCTTATAACAAATAATTGTCGAAAGAAATTAAATCTTCCTCTTGCTGAATGTAAAACTACAGTTTTTGGTTTGGGAAACAAACTTGTAGAACAATCATTTAGTGTGGTCTCTCTCCAATTTAGCCCATATTTCTCTCTCTCTCTCTCTCTCTCTCTCTCTCTCTCTCTCTCTCTCTCAAGCCTAATATTCAACGCTAATCCTATAGTCATTGATAAGATCACATCAGAATTTCCCAATTTCTTTATAGAAAAGGATAATTGGCCTTATTTGAAAAATATTCTGTTGGCTGACCCCAATTTTGTCAAATCTAGCCAGATTGATTTAGTGACAGGAGCAGAGCTTGCTCCATGCTTATTTAACGGGAAGGTTAGATTCCAAAATTTATCTGGACCCACTGCGTGCGGATCCAAATTGGGATGGTTACTTACAGGTAAAATATTACTATCAGGTGAAAATTCCAATTAAGATATAACTATGTTCGCGTCGGAGGAACAAGATGATTTTCTCAAAAAATTCTGGGAGCTGGAGTCAGTACCCTCTGCCGAATCTTTAACCAGAGAAGAAATTTCGTGTGAAGAAATATATATTAATAACCTCCAAATTCTGGAAGATGAAAGGTACTCTGTTGGGCTGCCATTTAGAAAATTGCCAACTCTTAGCGAATCTAGGATCAATGCTCTGAAACGATTTCTATCACTTGAAAGAAAATTACAAAAATCTCCAAGTATCCTAAAACAATACAATATAATACACTGCGGCCTGTGATTGTAAAACGACACTTGAAGTTACACCGCATGAGTTTCTTTTTAAACGAAAAATCAAAATTTTATTCCAAGGTAAAATATCGACTATTTTTAACCCTTTTGGATGAGGTATGAAAGGGTGAATTATGAAGAGTAATGACGAACGGAAAAATAAAAGTTTCCAGGGATGGGAATCGAACCCACAATGTTCCGCTTACCGGGCAGATGCCATGTCCACTAGGCTACCCTGGACGTATTTTTCCGTTCGTAAATGATACATAAAGTAACTTATAATACAATATAATACACTGCGGCCTGTGATTTTAAAACGACACTTGAAGTTACACCGCATGAGTTTCTTTTTAAACGAAAAATCAAATGTTTTGGTATGAAAGGGTGAATTATGAAGAGTAATGACGAACGGAAAAATAAAAGTTTCCAGGGATGGGAATCGAACCCACAATGTTTCGCTTACCGGGCAGATGCCATGTCCACTAGGCTACCCTGGACGTATTTTTCCGTTCGTAAATGATACATAAAGTAACTTATAATACAATATAATACACTGCGGCCTGTGATTGTATAACGACACTTGAAGTTACACCGCTAGTGGACATGGCATCTGCCCGGTAAGCGGAACATTGTGGGTTCGATTCCCATCCCTGGAAACTTTATTTTTCCGTTCGTCATTACTCTTCATTATTCACCCTTTCATACCTCATCCAAAAAGGTTAAAAATAGTCGATATTTTACTTAGAAATAAAAATTTTATTTTTCGTTTAAAAAGAAACTCATGCGGTGTAACTTCAAGTGTCGTTTTACAATCACAGGCCGAAGTGTATTATATTGTATTATAAGTTACTTTATGTATCATTTACGAACGGAAAAATACGTCCAGGGTAGCCTAGTGGACATGGCATCTGCCCGGTAAGCGGAACATTGTGGGTTCGATTCTCATCCCTGGAAACTTTTATTTTTCCGTTCGTCATTACTCTTGATAATTCACCCTTTCATACCTCATCCAAAAAGGTTAAAAATAGTCGATATTTTACCTTGAAATAAAAATTTGATTTTTCGTTTAAAAAGAAACTCATGCGGTGTAACTTCAAGTGTCATCCTAAAACAATATTGTGATTTCATGGACGAATATCTTTTAATCAATCATATGAGGCTTATTCCCAGTGATGAGCTGGATACACCTTCAGGACAATGTTATTATATACCTAATCATTGTGTTTTTAAGGAGCGAAGCACTACCACTAAATTGAGAGTTGTTTTGATGCATCTTGCAAAACTAGCAATGGCAAATCTCTAAACGACTTTCTTCATGTAGAACCAAAATAACAACAGGATATCTTCAACATTATGATAAGATTTCGAACACGCCCAATAGCTTTTTCAGGAGATATAGAGAAAATGTATCGCCAAGTAAGAATCGATTCTAGGGATTGTGATTTCCAGAGAATTTTATGGAGAAAAAAACATCAGAACCTTTATTGGATTATAGACTACTGACTGTGACATATGGATTGTCTTGTGCGCCATATCTCGCCATGCGTACCCTACATCAACTTGCAAGGGACAAGGTGTCAACCTCCCCAGTGGCCTCAAAAATAGTACAAACCGATTTTTATGTTGATGACTTGCTTTCTGGTGCAGACACAATTGAAGAAGCTACATGTCATATTCGTGAAGTCAATAATCTTCTTTCTTCAGCGGGATTTTCTCTAAGGAAATGGAGATCAAACGTCCCGGAGGTCCTTTCTGGATTTTCAGAACAGGTTGAAGATAGGCATAATCTTAGGGATTTTGAGAGTGATTCATGTGTCAAAATACTTGGTATTTGTTGGAATCCTTCCTTTGACATTTTTCAGATTCTTGTTAATGACATTCGAGAACAAACGAATTCTAAAAGACATTTGTTGTCCCACATCTCCAGAATCTTTGATCCTATAGGCTGACTGTCCCCGGTTATTATTCGTCTTAAAATTTTGCTTCAATCACTTTGGAAACAGAAGTTGAATTGGGATGATCCCTTGCCTGATACTTTGTGCTCTCAATGGAAGAAAATCGAAAAGGAATTTTCCGTATTAAATAAAATTCAAATTCCTAGATACTTCTCGTGCAGGGGAGCTTTACTTTCTGTTGAACTTCATGGTTTTTGTGGCTCTTCAGAAGTTGCATATGCGGCAGTATTTTATATAAGATCACATTTCAAATCGGGCCAAGTGAAATTTCTCTGATTGCTTCCAAGACGAGGGTAGTTCCTCTGAAAATGATTTCCATACCACGGCTGGAGCTGTGCGCTGCTCTTCTTCTCGCAACTTTATATGATACTATTCGCAATTCTTTATGCTTACAAATTGATAAAGTATATTTTATGGACTGATTCCAAAATTGTTCTCAGCTGGATTAAATCTGAATCTAGACATTGGAAACTATTTGTCGGAAATAGGATTGCTGAAGTTCAAAGATTGACTTTACATTCTTCCTGGCATTATGTCATTTCGAAAGATAACACTGGTCAACAACATTTTTGCACAAGAGAACCTGATTATGTTTCTAGTGTAACTTTTCATGCTGAACTCAAAAATCTAATCAGAAATTTCCCATCACCTATGGTTTTTGCGTGACGGTCTTTTTTCAGTATTGGGATAAATACAGTAAAAATTGCAAACAATGTCACGTAACTGGTTTATCAAAAAATATTTTTCTTTGTCCGCAAAGAAATAGCATCTTATCTACATGTCCTGAATCCAAATATACCATTAGTTTTTTTCTATTACACAATATTTCTGAGATACACCTACTTGAAATTTGGAAATATTGTTAATATATAGGCATATATGAACGAAACATATTTATCATTGAAAAGCAGTGACAGTGGATTTTCTTCTATACTTTGCTTGTGGTAGATCCCTCTTGAGTGCCCAGCAGTCGTCGGCAAGCATAGCGGGATTCCATTTACCTTGGTACCGCTTCTCCATGCTTGATATATCTTGATGAAACCTCTCACCATGCTCATCGCTAACTGCGCCAAGATTGTCTGGAAAGAAATCTAGATGTGAATGCAGGAAATGGATCTTGAGGGACATGTTACATCCCAGTGCCTTGTAGGAAAGCAACAGATCATTAACTATTTCTCGGTAATTTTTAACCTTGACACTTCCTAAGAAGTTTTTGCAAACGTTTCTAAAGGAATTCCATGCTGCTGCTTCAACTTCATTCAAACTATTTTGAAAATTTCCATCCTGCTGCAATTCTCGAATCTGAGGTCCAACGAAAATGCCTTCTTTAATCTTCGCTTAACTTATACTAGAAAATTTTTGTTTTAGGTTAGCAAATCCACTGGCATTTCGATCCATTGCCTTGACAAAGTTCTTCATTAATCCCAGTTTAATATGTAATGGTGGTAAGTAAATATTTTCTGAATCGATCAGGGGTAGATTTGCAATATTTTTATATCCTGGAGTAAAGATTTTACGGTTTGGCCAGATTTTTTAATGTAATGCCTTTCCCTATCTCTGCTATTCCACTCACACAGAAAACAACAAAATTTTGTATATCCAAGCTGTAATCCACGCAAGAGAGCAACGACTTTCAAATCGCTGCATATTTTCCAACCGTATCTTTCATATTCTATCTTTTTCAAAAGCAGTTTCATGTTTTCGTAAGTCTCTTTCATGTTGGATGCATGTATTTATCCCAATACTAAAAAAAGATCGTCAGGCAAAAACCATGGGTGATGGGAAATTTCTGATTAGATTTTTGAGTTCAGCATGAAAAGTTACACTAGAAACACCATCAGGTTCTCTTGTGCAAAAAAAAAAGTTTTTTTTGTAGACCTGTGTAATCCTGCAGACTGCGCTTCCAGAGGTATAACTCCTTCAGAGCTGGTGGATCACTCTCTTTGGTGGCGAGGACCAACTTGGCTCTCGGATGTGAACTTTGAAGATCCAATTCAAACTCAATATGATTTTCCGAAAGAAATTTCAGGTGAAAGAGGAAAACCTTTTTCTGTTTTTCATTCCACTAATGTTCTTTTCCCAGACTTCATTTTCAAATACTCAAATATCAACGAACTTGTTAGAATTACAGCATGGATTTATAGATTTGTTTTCAATGTCCAATGTTCTTTCAATGAAAGAAAGAAAGGACATCTATCTTCAAGCGAATTAACAAGTTCAATTCACAATATCATTCGTTTCATTCAAAGTTCTGAATTTCAATCAGAAATTACCTGTTGCAAACAAAAGAAATCTTTATCAACTAACTCATATTTGATTCCTTTCATTGATGAATCTGGACTATTACGGGTTGGAGGAAGATTACGTCATTTAAATCTGCAATTTGATAAAAAGCATCCAATAATATTTCCAAGAGATCATTTCATCACGGAATTAATAGTGCGACAGTGTCATCTGGATTATTTACATTCTGGTCTTCAACTGACCATGTCAGCACCACGATTACGATATTGGATTCCTGCAGGCAGAAGTTTGGTCAAGAAAATAATCCACCAATGCATGGTGTGTTTCAGGGCTAAACGCCAAGGTACCAAGCAAATCATGGGAGATCTGCCTATGCACCAAATTGTGAAATCAAACCCGTTCACTAAAATTGGAATCGACTTTGCAGGACCGTTTTTGATGAAACCAAACATCAAAAGATCCAAAGTAAAATTAAAATCATTTTTTGCCTTATTTGTATGTTTCTGCACAAAAGCAATTCATATAGAAATTGTATCAGACCTATCTTCAGCGGCTTTCCTCGCAGCTCTCAAGCGGTTTATATCTCGTCGAGGAAAACCTTCTGATATATTTAGTGATAACGGGACCAACTTTAGGGGAGCTAACAACATTCTCCGAGAGCAGTTTGGTATATTAAAAGCTCCATCAATTCAAAATTTCATATCTAATGAACGAATCAACTGTCATTTTATACCTCCTTACGCCCCAAATTTCGGAGGTATCTGAGAGACTGGAATAAAATCCTTCAAATTTCATCTTCTCAGATGCTTAAAGTCTCAGATACTCACATTTGAAGAGCTGAGTACTCTGACAACTCAAATAGAAGCTTGTTTAAATTCGCGCCCTATTTGTCCTCTAAGTTCAGATTCAGACGATTTTAATCCTCTTACACCAGGACACTTCTTAATCGAGAGACCCTTAACTGCCCCTCCAGAATCTAATGATGATGATGATGTTCCGATAAACTGCCTCGATCGCTGGAGCCTAAATATAAAAAATAAA